GGCCATGCAGCGTGGCCCGCGCGCTCCAGGTCTGATTTAGGTTTTACCTAACGATCCCAACCAGTTTACAGGCCGTGATGGAAATTCTGACTTCCAGGAGCCGAGTTTCATTTTCATAGAAGCGGAAGTATTAGAAGAAAAACTTGAGACATGAGTCTCAGTCCTCGCATTCGTGGCCAGTTTTTGGAAAAAAAAATTCTACCAGAATGAGAAAGTGAAAAAAGAAAAAAACACACACACAGTTGAGTTATTTTTGGCAGATTTAGGTTAGTCCAGTTTGCCTACTTCCTGCTGTCAGCTCTGCCTTGGATAAACACAACAGGCTTATTTTGGAGGTTAGATCCACTTCAATTTCTGCATTGGTTCCCTAAAAGTATGCAAAATTTACTATACCTGAAATTTTAGTAGTAACCTGAAATGCCATTTTTTTATACAAACCTTAATAAGGACTGATATTAATATTTTGTGCCATGTCTAAAATACATGCAAGTGTTTAACAAGCGGTAACAAATTATTAATTTTTTAATAACGCAAGTTTAATTCCCCAAGTACTTTCCACCGAGAAGAGATTGAATTTTAATTTTTGAATTAAAATTTTAAGTTAACTTTTGAATTTTAATGTTTAGCAATGAGCTAAAATCTTACTCTATTTTACTCAGAAGCTTTCCTGTTGAACTGAATTTTGCACACCAGATGTTTTCCTTCATTCACTGCAGTGACCAATGCTGTCAAAACAAACTTCAACAGAAGGTGGCACTACAACCAGCCGGTAACACAGGCCAGGTTCCACGGATAGGCAAAAAGCTATGCTCCCACCCTTAAACCCTTTTATTTATTTATTTTAGAAAGAGAGGAAGGGAGGAGAGAGAAAAACATCGATGTGAGAGCGGAACACTGATTGACTGCCTCCTGCATGCTCCTTACTGGGGATGGAGCCTGAAACCCCCAATGTGCCCTGATGGGGAACCTTTGGGTACACTGGGCCAACTGAGCCACACTGGCCAGGGCCCAACTTTAAACCTTTTAAAACTAAAAAACTAAAAACTAAAAATCTTTCGTATCTATAAGTATTTAATCTTCAAAATCAAGCTTTTATAAATTCAAAGCAATAACAGGAATTGAAGTTGCTGGTCAAGGTACATAGGTCTGTTACCAAGTATCATTAGCTACGGGAACATCAGCAAAAAAGTTCTATATTCCTTCCTGTGTCTTCTATTTGCTTTCTGTACTCATCCAGTAAAGTGGTTACGCTTAAATCCATGAAAAGACAGAGCAAGGAACATTTTTTTGGGAACTGAAAAGTATTGAGAGAAGATGGTTCTCTATACTTAATCCTTGCAGAGCGTCAAAAGTTCCACCACCAAAGACTCTGGGTCCTATGGAACTTGCTCTTAGCATTTTCAAAGCATACACGCCATTGCTGGAATTCACCAGAATGCCTAAGTCCAGATGTCTGTGTGGTTAGGATAGACTGTCCAGCACATGTGCTCCTGTGTTCAGAACTGGCCCAGGAATAGAACTCATAAAAACCACCCACCAGCTCTAAGAAACATCCAGCGCTCTCATTCTGAACCCCCAAATGCTCCTTTCTGATCTCCCTGCCTTTCCCAAGTCCTTCTTGATTCCTAGCTATGGCAAAAAGCATCCTATTGCTGGAATGTTCATCATCAGCATTCACCTGTCCTGTGCACTGGGCTGGGAATGGTCTGTGTGGTCCTCCTCAAAGCCACCGCGCCCCTACTCTGGGCCAGCCTGGGCTCACAAGAGCCAGACCCTCAGCTGTGTTTTCAGGTATTTTAAGCTTGGTCTGACATCAGCAAATAGCTGCTGCAAACATCATGTCATACCTTGTATGTGGTGTGAGGAGTCCTCTACCCAGGATTAGGGAGTGGCTCCTGAAAAGCCAGTCTTCAAAAAAGCCAGAGCAGGCAAGCCCAGACCACCACGAGACTGGTTCTAACTTTCCTTATGGGGTCCAGCCTACTCATTCGGGCAGTAAAAAGAACCACCAAGTGTGCTAACCCAAGCGAGCTCAAAGCGGCTGAGATGCTACTTTGAGTTGTGACAGTTCAAGAAAGTACTGATGCAGCATTTCACAGGAAATGAGTAGGCATCCTAGTGCTTTAGCTACCAGTGTGCACTTTGCAAGGAGGAGCTCTGCTAGGGTTTCCAGTCCCCCCATTTTGCACTGGGTGAGGAATACAGTATTCAGGGAATTTGAGGGGTGGGCGAAGGGAGAGCAAAACAGTTATTTTGAACCGTCAAGGGTCTGACTTGATTTCTGTGCGAATCATCATTTAAAAAATACTTGAATTAAATGGACCTGACAGCTGGATTCTGAGATGATGAGATGCACAATCCTAAATTGTTTTCTCCGTCCTCAGTAAGTTTTTTGGTGTTTTTTTTTTTTTGGTAAAAGTTGATTTTATGGAGATAAAAAGGCAAAGGGAATGAAAGGTACCAGAAAGAGATTACCTATAACCTTTGGGAGTTACTTAAAAGTTATTTATTATATAAATCCATCACTTTTTTGGTTTCTCCATTTTTTCCTGCTTTCCTTTTCTCTGAAAATGAAATAAAGTAAAACTGAACTGAACTTCTTGGAAATACTGGGTAAAGGTTGAAAATTTAGGTTAAGAGTTCCAGACAGCCCTAGTTGCAACTACAACACTTAGAGTGTCATAGTTAAATTGTTCAGTTTTGCACACCTACTCCCTCAAACCCCGCCCAGCTCTTCCCCGCTTTCACCACCACACCCCCAATTCAAAAGGACTAAGAAGTTCCCTACTCTTACCCCTCCTTCAACTGTAAAGTTTTCAATACTTGAGGAAATGAGATGTCTGGATTTTTGTCATGCACCTGTCACAGTCCCTTTACAAATGGGAAAGGAATTTTAAGTAACCTGCTTAAGGTCACAGAGCATTATCTGCCTGAGCCAGGTTAGACCAGTCTGTCCCTGGCTCCTTTCCCTACACCAGACATGTCCACAGAAAAGAATCCTGACCTTGTACTAGACTCTTGTGGGGCATTGCTTCATGAGTTATAGAAATGTCCAGCCACTATGCTGTACACCTGAAATAATATAATATTGAATGTCAACTGTAATTGGAAAAAAAACTTTAAAACAGAAGTAAAAAGTCATCTTTCCCTCCTAAGGATTTAACTCTCAATGCTTCCTTGCAGCCATAGCAACCAGGGCCTTTATTTAGTGTCTGAATCATCAGTAGAGGTTTTAAATATTTACATATTTAAGAATATATTCAAGAATATCTCACTTCAAACTTGATTCTCTTTAGGGTGAAATGGGGCCACCATGAGAGAGAGTCTTGGCAGCTCAGGAAGGGAATATGTAAATACTTACTCAATGCGTTTTCCTCCTACATCACAGAAGATCAAGACCCCTCTCCCCACCTGTCTCCCCCACGCCCCACAATGGTTTGGACACAGCTTTTAACAAGAACAGTTTTACAAATAGTCAGATGCAGCAAAAACTCAGGTTTGATAGACAGATGTAGAACCCAATTTATTTTCCAATTCAGTAATCTCTCCTGCCACGAGATTAAAGCAGTCTCGGAGACAGTAACCAACCAGGCAGTGTGTACAGGAGAGAAAGGCTGGACTCATCGCAGTTGGATGGTATTGGCTTGGAACACAACTCCGCCAGCTCCTAACCGCGGGTGACTGCGAGGATTCAGTGAGCACGCTGCCTGGGGCATAGTAGGAGCTCAATAAATGTTCCAGAGCAGAAGAGACGACCCATCCATCCTGGTTACTTTACAAAACGGAGGTTTAAAAATGGAGATAATGCTCTCCTTACTAGGGGGATTTTCCTCATCTGTTCCTCTGCCCTGCATGCACGTTGCTGGCAAGGACAATAGCCGAGCCACATGGGGACATAGGGAACTAGAGATGGGGTTGAGTGGCCAGACCAGCTAAGACGGCTGGCCTAGCAGCTGCTCCTCAGCCTTCCACTCACACCGCCATGGGGGGTGGGAGGCAAGGGACACCGCTTATCATGTTCCTGGCACTGGGCTGACTCATTTACAACCCTGGGGTGTTGGTGTCATTAGCCTCATTTTTAAAATTCCCCATAGATTAGCGAGGTCGAGTAACCTGTCTAAGGGCAGAACCTGGTTTGCTCCAAAGCCTCGCGCTACATCATTCTCTCCAAAGTGCTCAGTCAAGAAAAAAGACTTAATGAAATGTTAGTCGCTGTTCCTGCATATCATTTTTCCTCCGGGGAACT